TTTGGAACCATGCCTACATATTCCCGTCCGAAATCACGGACATTCATAAATTATGAATTCATGCCTGCACATTCACTTTGGAACCATGCCTACACATTCACTTTGGAACCATGAGGTTATGAATTTTCTGTTATAAGATTATGAATTTTCTGTTATGAGATTATGAATTTTCAGTTGTGAGATTATGAATTTTCTGTTATGCAATTATGAATTTTCTGTTATGAGATTATGAATTTTCATAAAATTCATAATCTCATAACAGAAAATTCATAATTTGATCAGTAACGCGCCGTTAACTCCACATCCGCGATTTTTTTTTTTTTTGCCTAAAAACGACGTCGTTTTGACTTGTGTTCACCATTCTCGGTGAACACGATTCCACGGCATAATTTGCGGTACACATCAACGCAAACTAGGATTCTATGTCACTTTTGACTTTTTATTTTATTTTATTTTCTACTATACTAATAAGAGCCCAAGAGAGTTAGGTCTATAATAGGTAGAAAAAATGACGGTCAAATTTTTTAATCAAATGAATGACTCAGATTGATTATATTTTAATTTTTTCTTAAGATTTCCTAATTTATCCTTAATGAATATGATTATCCGTTAAATATTATATTTTTCGTTAATTTTTGTTAGTTCACCGTTAACTTAGTCATTGATTTCAATAAGAAAGGTAAAGGTCTTAGGTTCGAACCTCATCCCAATCAAAGTTGGCATAATTAGTAATCTATTTTATTCTTATTAAATTATAAATAATAATTTAGTAGCTACAACAAAAAATAATACATATACATTTCTTTAATTTGGAATTATGTGTCTACAATGTCTTTATTCAAAAAAAATTATTCATTATCAATAAATTAAATAAGAGAAATAATTTCATTAGTTATATTGTCTTTATTTTTCTCCAATATAAAAATTTTTTACATTCAAATTCATCAATTGATTATATTCGCTACATTGTCCCTACAATGTCTTTATTAAAAAAAAATTATTCATTATCAATAAATTAATTAAGAGATGTAATTTTATTAGTTATATTGTCTTTATTTTTTTCCAATGTAAAAATTCTTTACATTCAAATTCATCAATTGATTATATTCACTATATTGTCTATTATCTTTTTTGTGCACTATTTTTTAATTAAATATCAAAGTTATAATACAAAATAATGCTATATATTTATTTACCAAGTATGTTATTAATACTATGAAAAAATAAAAAATATATATATAATTAATAAATCCAATCATATTAACTACTTGAGGGATTTGTTGACAAAAAGAGTATTCAAATCATACAACAAATTGAAGTGATAACTATCTCGCAATGTCCTTGCTTGACAATCAGCAATTAGCGGTTAGCGTTAGCGGATTTGACCAGTGAATTATATCAACGGTTGGTAAAAAGATATTTGAAAAAATTAAATGTTTAGATTAACATGTAAAATGAACTAAGGGTATCCATATATTTAATAATAATAATAATAATAATAATAATAATAATAATAATAATAATAATAATAATAATAATAATAATTGTTTTAAAAAATAAAAAATATATATATAATTAAGCCAATCATATTAACTACTTGGGAGATTTATTGACAAAAAGAGTATTCAAATCACATAACAAATTGAAGTGGAAAACTATCTCGCAATGTCCTTGTTTGACAATCAACAGTTAACTCTTCAATATTAGTATATATTTAATATTTTATGCCCTAATTTTTCCCTTATGTCCCATATTTGGTTTCAATCATACCTATACAATTATTTTATTGGCAATTATAATCAATATGATATTACCTTGCATTTGTAAACTTAGAATTACCTATTTAAATAAGTAAATTCAACATTCAATTATCTATGCATGAACAATTTCAATATAATCTTGTCTTGATATATTTTAAAGTACTTATTTAAAAAAAAAAAAAATTGGGCATTATCCCAATCGCGCAATGCGCGTAAAAAACTAGTATTGGAATAAGAGTCAAATAAGTCACCGAACTGCACACAAAGTACAATTAGGCCATCGAACTCAAAAACAATGCAATTGGATCTTTGAACGACACAAAATCATGTAATTAGGTCTAAAATAACCTGTTGACATGAAATTGTGCTGACGTGACGATTACCAATTTTAAATAAAATAAAATATTAAAAAAAAAAACAAAACAAAAATTAGAACTGCCGGAGACGAATCTTCTCTCCATGGCCAGGGAAACGAAGCTTCGTCTCCGGCCATAAAGACGAAGACTGCCGGAGACGATATGTCTTCGGCAGTTCTAGTTTTTTTTTTTTTTTTTTTTTTTTTTTCATTTAGCCTAAAAACATGCAAGATTGCAAGGTAAAATGAAAGTAATTCTAATGTGCTATCATTCAATTTGCACAAATGTTTAATCTTTGTGGATGTATTTAATTGAACAACTTTAATTATATCCGGTCATAAGATCTCTTATAATTTTAAACAAGTAGAAATGTGAATCTCTAACATTATTGCTAACATATCTCACTTTATTTACTGCGCAGAAGATGATTCTTTTGTAATTCAATGGTTTAAAAACCTTTTATCTAGACATAATTAAAGATCACATTAACTACTTGAGATAGAAATTAACATTAATTTTTGCAACAATTTTATGTGTAGTCATACTCCAAACGCGTACGTACTCCTTAGAGTAATAATTCTTGTGCTTATATATTTGTTTCAAGTACAGACACGTTGACAGGAAACAAATGCAAATAACAACATTATTGCTCAACATGCCCTACAATGTACTTTATAAGCAACTTGATAAATTCTACAACTCTCTAATCCAAAAAAAAAAGAAAAAAAAACAAATAAAAAAAAAACACAAAACAGTAATTGATTGGTATAACATAATTCTCATACTAGAATGTCAAAAGTCTGCTTCTTGAATTACCAATAATATCGCAGTTAAGCCCGTTGCATAATGTCTTCTTTATGTAGTTCGTACACTCTTGAGTAGTGGATGTGTGATTCTCATGCTATCCAAAAAAAAAGAATATTTCACTTTTGATTCTCAATTATAGTGAAATTTACAATTTTGGTTTTTCGCGTTGACTTGTTTCATTTCTAATTCTCAACTTAAAAAAAAAAAAAAAAAAAAAAAAAACTTCTAATTTAAAGTGCTTTTTGAAAATTTAACTAAACTTTATCATATTATATTTAATGACACTTTGCATATTTTAGATTAAAAATAGAACAAATTGAAGTTGATAAAAAATAGAATATAATGTTTTTGAACTAACTATTTGTTGTAATATTTTATTGTTTGTCTCTATAATATTTTTGAAGTTGATAAAAAATGGAATATAAGTTCCATTAGTTCCTGACAAGTTGAGATCACCTTTCTTGAATATCACCGACACAATTTCAGCACTTAATTGAAGTATTTGAAATTTATTTTCCTTTTTTGGATTTTTACGAGAATTAAATTGTTAGTTTGATTTAAAATTGTAAAATATGGGTCGTGTCAAATTATTATTATTATTATTTTTGGTGTGGGCCGAAGTATTATTTTTTTATTAGTAAAAAAAAACTTTATTATTTTGGGGTAGGGTAATGATATAGGCGTGAAGAAGAAAAAATAATGAAGATGTATAACGTAAGTGGTTAGGTTGTTCCATGAAGTGAAACCTCAAAATTGGGAGACAAACCGCTTTATCTTTTTACATAAAAGTTCAATTTAGTCCCCAAAATAAGAATCCTTCACCAAGCAATTCCTAGTGGTTTGCAGGCTAAACCAATGATATGATGTGCCATAATTTTGTGCAAATTTTGCATCAATGTTCATCATAGCCTTTCATTTCAAATACTATGCACCAAATTATATCTTGAATCACTAATAAATGTTTATTTTTAATGTATTATAGGTTCATTTTAAAATAATTTATTAAAAATGAACATTCAAAAATTGAACATGTAGTACACACTAAAAATTAACTTTTATTTTGTATTATACAAAAAATGAACAAATGTGTTAATGGTTCAACGTAACTTACAATGTGAAGCATAATCCACAGTATAGTGATTGATATAGATGGATACTCAGCATGGACACCCAATCACTACCACATAGCAGACAACCGGGCATGACACTCAAACTCAACAATCAGCACTTGAGATATGTTCAGTCAGTCTGGCTCCCTAATTATCTTTTCATAACTTCTAAGCTCATTATTATTACTCATAAATACAAATAATTATCCATAAATCTTAATAATTACCATATTAATTACCCATGAATACCCCCTACTCACCACCGGGGAGAAACGAGAAAAGAAATGAGGGGTTGATCCACATCTCTATAGACTAGAAAACATAATACGGTGATATAGGTACAAAATCTCCTATAAAATAATGAATTTTTGACTTAGCACCGTCCAAAAAGGCATGTCATTTTTACCTTTTAGTTTCTACATTAAAATTCTTGTCTCTATTTATTTTTTACTTTTTATTTCTCATTTCATCGGTTATGTTAGTCCGTTAAGTTACTACCTCGGGTCACAAAGCCAACAGATACTATGCACAATGGAGCATATGTGCGAGTGAATACATTGAGTGAAGTATCAAACAATCTATATATATATAAAAGTAAAATCCTCCAAACAAATTTTCCCCCTAAAACTTAGGGTCATTTATGTAAATTAATATATATTATGTTGTTTATGGAAAGAATAATTTGGGATTGGTACGTGTGAATTAATTAAGAATAAAATTAATTAGGAATATTAATATAATGACTTAATTAAGAATAAATCAATATAATAAATTAATTATGGCAATACTTTAAAGAATAAATCAATATAATAAATTAATTATGGCAATACTTTAAATAAATAAATACAATTTCCTTTTGAAAAATCTTACAAATTTACAATTCTCATATTTTTTACCTATAAATACAATGAGATGACTAAAAAAATTAAACTCTTCATTTTACATTGCATCCTTCTTTTCCCTTGAAGGGGACTCTCTCATCACCAATTTAATCATTGTGGTTCAATAGTTGCTCAAACTAATATGCATATTTCAATGCATTAAAGGTACAATTTCTCTTTTAGCTATTTCTATTTCTGTGAAAAAAATATATTATTTTTTCATTTACATTCTTTATCATGTATTTGTCCAGGTCGATGCCACTTTAGACCAGCTGTAGTTGCTCTGACTAAGCCGATGCAGAAATGTTTAATTTTTTTAGAAACGTATATTTTTCGTATTATTTTTGTCTGTAATTGATCTTCCATAGTTTTTAATTATTGTTTTTTTTAATTTTGTATTATATGTATTTTTTTTTTGTATTATTGTTTTGTTTCAAACAATAATTTTGTAATATTGTTTATCTATTTTATTTTCAGGCATGATTTTTGTTATTTGTGCGATGCAATGGTTACGGAGTCAGTAGGGGATACTATAGAGAGAAAAAAATCGATGGCAAGATTCAGAAGAATGTTGTGGAAAGTAGTTCCTCTTCATCTAATGAACATACTTCTTCTTATTCTGAGAAAGAATTGAAGGCCAATAAATTAAAATATCTCTATATGCATACTTAAAAGAACCATTTAGTGTTTTTTGCTTTTATTGACCTAAACTTGATTTCCTGTAATTAAATTCTTATAAAACCAATGTTCTTATATTTTTTGTTTGTTTCTAGAGTATGGATTATTTGTTCCATACATTTTTTATTTAAATATATTGGTTGTGTTTTAAGTACTGAGTATCTGATGGTATTTTTTTATTGTTCTCTTTGTGTTATGCAGGGAGGATTTTATTTTTTATTAATAGAATACAATATTATATGATTAATATTATTAAAGTAAGAAATTTATATATGACAAATTACTATATATAATTATGGTAACGTTTTATTTAAAATTTAATGAAATTAATTTTTTCTATACTATTAATAAAAATAAATTTTTTCTATGTACAATAATTGTATATTAAAATATAGTAATACAATACCTAATATAATATATTCTTTCTTACTTTTCCTGTTCTTACTATAATTATAGATTAAATTTTCTATCAATTTGCTTATGTAAGATATCGTATGACATCTATATATTATTTCCTCTTCTGTTTTTCTTATTCTTTTTATTTTTTTTAATGCCTAATAATTACCACAAATAATTATTAATAGTTGTAAATTTATATTAGGCAATTATATAAATAATTAATTATTAAATCAAATATAATTTATTTTGTATTGTAGACGCATTGTTTTTAATAATTTTGATTTAAACTATTTAAGTTTCTATGTTTTTCATATACAAAGTTATAATTGTAAATTTACAATTGTAATACTGTTATAATAATATTGAATAAATATTACCCATATGTTTAGTTTTAATTATATATTATATTAAAATAATTATATATTAATATAATATAGTGATGATTAATACGGGTAAATCATATATAAGGATAATCTAATATAGAAAATATTCATTACTAACCATATATAACTTAGGAAATAACTAAACTTATTGAAACTTAATTATTTATAATTTCATCTTTAATATAAAATTATAAATATATAATTTTAATATCCAAATTTAATAAGATTTTTTTATTGTGAATCTATATATTTTAAATAATTTTAATTTAATAATATTATACCTTAATTATAAAATTAATACCATGTAGTCAATTAATTAAATATTCTATTTTATTTTTCCGCTCAAATTTTTGTAGTCAATTAATTAAATATTCTATTGGTAATACCGTGTACAAAAAATATTAATTAATTAATTAGGTAATAACATAATAGCATAATTGGTAATAATATGTATGGTATTTTATAATATACTTGGTAATATAATTAATTGGTAATAAACATATTCAGTAAACTGCACAAATAAGCATATAGATTTTATATTTTAAATTTTAAATTTTAAATTTATGTCTTTTGTTTAAATTGAAAGATTTAATTGGTTTACATCTATACTATTACTAAAAACAAAATCATCCTTTCCAAAATATCTATACTATTACTAAAAACAAAATCCTCCTTTCTTATTTTCAAAAAAAAAAAAAATCCTCCTTTCTTACTTTCCTTCCCAAACAATAAAAAAAGCGAAAAAAAAAAATATATTACCAATTAATAATACTAATAATTAGTAAAAATGTTAGTAGTAAAATAGAAAACAAAAACTTAATTCACGAAAAGTAGAAAAGGAAATTAAATTCACTGATTAATTAATACTAACAATAATCAGTAAAAAAAAGTTTGTAGTAAAATAGGAAAATAAAAAAATACCCTTAATTCACTAAAAACTAAAAATATAAACGGAATTTACTGATTACTAATAACCAGTAAAATAGAAAAATAAAAAATGAGTCTTAATTCAATGAAAATGAAATAAAAAATGGAAGATTGTGAAAAAAAAAAAGAAGATCATAATAAAGATAACAGTAAAATAAAAAGCAAAATTCTACCCAAAATTAGAAATATAAAAAAGATTCTTTTTTGAAGTCATAAAAAAGATTCTTAATTCATGAAAAATAGAAAAGGAAACAGAATTGACTGATTAATTAATACTACTAATAATAATAATCAGTAAAAAGGTTAGCAATAAAATAAGAAAATAAAAAAAGATCTTAAATTCACTAAAAATCTATACTCTATACTATTATTAAAAACAAAATCATCATTTCTTACTTTCCCGCCCAAACAATAAAAAAGAGGAAAAAATTATCAATTAATAATATTAATAATAATTAGTGAACAGGTTCATAGTAAAATAGAAACAACAAAATCCTTAATTCACAAAAAATTGAAAATGAAACGAAATTCACTGATTAATTAATACTAACAATAATCAGTATAAAAAAAAAAGTTGTAGTAAAATATGAAAAAAAAAAAAAAGGATCCTCAATTCATTAAAAATGAAAAAAGAAACGGAATTCACTGATTAATACTAATAATAATCATACAATATTTAAATGCACTATAATTTTTTAATTATAATTCTATCAATATAAATTATAATTAATGAAATTATATTATAGAATTTTTCTATATACATATTAATAAATATTATGTGTATATACAATGTATTATACAATCATATGAGGAAATGCGTCCGATTAGAGTTTAAATTTATTCATACAAAATTTAAAATTTATATATATATTTTTTATTTCTAAGTACAATTCTCTTAGTTAGTATTCATATTTTTAGAATTATAATATATATAAAATACAATTAGGAATGAATCAACTTAATTATCTGAATTTTTACAATAAATTTATCTAAATATGTACATGATTAGAGATTATATTAACTATACAAAATTTTAATTTTAATTTTGTATGTTATGAAAATAGATACTTGACCAAATATATAAAAGTCCAACTATATTATTATATTGTACATTATAACATCTTTTAATTGTTTTCTATTTTTATTTTTAAATTCATAATAAAAAAAATTCATGTGCAACACATGGGTAAAACACTATATTTTTAAAAATACAATTTGATAAACATCATAAATTAATTAGTACAATATCATTTATGTTTATAATAATTAAAGAAAAAATAAATAATTCAAATATGTGAAGCAATGATTTCAAAATGAAATTAATATACAGTTACAAATAAATATAACATGATTAGATTTACTTTAATTAGTTTTAATTTTCTTAATGAAGTGACTTTTCTTTATTCATTTTTTTATGGGATACTAAGGGAGTGTTTGGATTGCTAGAAAATCTATACTATAATTAAAAACAAAATTCTATTTACCTGATTTCCCGCCGAAACAATAGTAAATAGTAAAGGTAAATTAAAAAATGAACAGAAATATTTCACAATAATTCTCTACATCATCATCAATTAAAAATTGAACAAAAATTAGGTAAATTGGAAAATAAATGAATATTAATAATTGACTGAAAATTAAAAATGAAAAAAAGAAACAGAAATTAGGTTAATTGGAAAACGAAATGAATATTAATAATTGACTGAAAATAAAAAATGATCCATAATTGACTAAAATGGAAAAAAAAAATTGTCAGATTATTGCATTTTAATTTTTCACAATAATATTACACAGAAGAATAAATCAAATCACAATTATATCATAAATTTTTCACAAATTTTAACAATGGAACAGAAATTAAAAATGGAACGGAAATATTTCAATAATAATATTCTACATCATCAATTAAAAATAGTTCGGATAGGTAAAAATATCACTGCATCTGATATTCTAATTGACTGGAAATAAAAAAGAATAATTATTTGAAAATGAATCTGATATTACTAATTGACTGAAATTATAAAAGAAAATGAATATTAATAATTGACTGCAAATAAAAATGATTCATAATTGACTAAAATGAAAAAAGAAATTGACAGATCATTGCATTTTAATTAAAAAAAATGGAACGGAGATTAAAAATTGGACGAAAATATTGCAATAATAATATTCTGCATCATCAATAGTAAATTTATATTTTAAACAATAGTAAATGTAAATTAAAAATAGAACGAAAATATTTCAATAAAAATATTCTGCATCATCAATTAAAAATGGAACGAAAATTAGGTAAAAATATCAATGCATCTAATATTCTAATTGACTAATTGACTGAAAATAAAAAAAAAAAAACAAAAAAAAGAATAATTGACGGAAAATTAATCTGATATTACTAATTGACTGAAAATAAAAAAGGATCACTAATTGACTGAAATTCTACCATTATATATTTTTACCCGAGTCACCCATACTTTTGGACTAAAGGTGTTAGCTCTAGACGAAGATGGAAAAGATTGTGTTGTTACTACCAATGTTGTCTACAAAGAGGTTTTAATAGTGTGCATGTAAATACAATATGTGATATTATGTTTTTTTTTTTAATGACAAAATTGTTATATATCTAGACAAAAATATATATTTTCCGTACAAATAAATTAGAATATCAATTCATTTTTATAACTGAGTTGCTACACATTTGTCTAATTTATAAAAATACTGAACAATGATAAATAAAATCTTCAAACTTAAAGCACCGCGTGCGTACATCTACATATTAGCTATTAATTTGAACAATTAATAACATAAAAACACATAAACGATCCAAACCATACCTTCAATTGCACTATATAATATTTGATGTTTTAATTTAAATAATTATATATCGATCCAAATATTCTTAATATATTACAACAAATTCATTCCGTGCATCGCACGGGCGCAAATACTAGTTGTTTTAAAACTAAATAACCTCTAACTTTATAGTAAAATATTAATTGACATTTGACAAAAGTTTCTTTATACTATTTTTCAAGAGCTTTCAGAATTTTAAGTATAATATAAAATTATTGATGTTGCTTAAGCATGATTAATTTATGAGTTAATTGCATTAGATAGACATTAATAATCAAATTAGTCTATTAATTATAGAGATAAGTCAATGTCACTTATATTTATGCATTAAATAAGGTGGCAATTTGAGGGTTTAAGGTGATAAATTTAGTTAAACAATATATCATACGTGAAGTTGGCATATTCTAAGTTCTTATATGTCACCCCTTCAATTTTTTTTTTTTTTTTTTTTAAATATTGGTGACTAATTAACATGTGTGAAACTAACAAATAATATAATATTGTAACATCCCAACTACTATGTAGTGTGATTACATCTCTATTACCATTCCAAATGGGTGGTTAAAGAATTGAACTCCAGTGATGGGAGCATTGATTCTTTGTACTAAAAAGATTGAGAAAATAGAGAACAGATACTATCTTGTAAAGAATTATGAGTGTTAAAAAAAAACAAATAGTGTAACTTAAGGGACCAAAACAATCGCATTTATGTATAATTAGGGATGGTGTTGACTTATCTTTGTAATTCAAAGATTAACTCATATTGTCATATATATTCATATAGAGGCAAATACATGCTAGACCACATGGCAACTAGGGCCAATCCTTAAGAATCATGTCTAATGTTTGCACTGCACCCGAATACAATTGCACCGCAAGGTCCTCCAAACATGTCTGGAAGTCATAGATGTGCAATCATGTAGTAGTTGCCGTGCAATCATTCACAAATTCACAGGTTAAGTTTGTGGAATGCAATATTAAATTGAAGTTGAATTCTCATCACAATATATTAGTTGTAGTAATGAATTCATTCATCCGGGGTATGAAGTTGAGCATAATGTATATATCTTGTAATTGCAAATAATAGTATAGTAGTTAATCATATCCCAGTGTTGGTGGGGTGGCATGTGAGCAAAAGGAGCATGCATGTGACCTATGCTTATTAGTAACATTGTATTAATATCACAATTATGGCACAGTCGGTGTGAAATTAAACCTTTGCCTAATATAATTAATCATGTGAACCCCTCTCTGCATGGCTGACGCATTATTTTAGTTTTGTTGTTTATTCATTTCTTCACTTCAATTCAATTCATTATATTGGGCCACAATCCCTACCCCCCACCCCTTAACTATATGCTCTTCCATCATCATCATCATATCTTCTTCTTCTTCCCTTTTTCTTTTATATGCTAACAGACAAACCTACCCAACAAAGAAAGGAATCATATATCAACGTAACGGACCTCTTCTTCCAATGTCTTTCATACTAGCTTGATGAGATAGATGATACTACTATACCTATAAAAGGGACATACTATACACTTGAGAATTTGCACGTCTTTCTTTTGTCACGAGAAAGAATACACTCTTTCTTATGGACACACTTCTATTTTTGTACAAAGTATTATCATCATTATAAACTTATAAATAGTATTTCTGTCTCCATTGTATCTCATTCTTAATTGCATTCTTGATTATTGATTTCAAACAAATAATACTATGTTGTTTTACAACTTATTTTTTATTTATTGATTTCGGAACTAATCACTTACCAAAAGAAAAGAAAATTACAGGGTGGGTAAACAACTGAATTATTTGGGGGGATGCCAATCACAACAAGAATAACAAATTATCCTATAAAGAATAACAAAAATAAAGCATTTGGGAATGAAAAGAACAGCAGTTATTCGGATGGGTTGATGTGCCCAAAAAAAAGAAGAAAAAGAAGAGATGGGAGGGCAACTGGGGAAGGACTGTACTTACACGACCTTAAAACTGCTAACATAATTGTGAGGTAAACAATGCAGACACAAGGCGGAATATACCAAGGGGAGAAAGCATATACGTATGTATATATATCTAGATGACGACATAGCAGAAGAAGCATTTCTACGTGGGAATTACGATATGGAGCAGAGAACACAGGCTTCCTAGCTGCTTTCTGCTGGGAGCTGGACCATGTTCCCGGGCCTGTTTGCAAGTTTCGGCCTCCACTCGGTCCGCCCTTTAACAATCTCGTCGCCACCCTCAAGACGAAGCAAATGTTGGCATTCCACAGTTTCAGGGTTGTCAACATTGTTTCCCAGAACAGAGGTGAGAGACTGCAGGACACTGTCCCTCCCGCATTCCTTCCTGTACTCCAGAGTCATGGCAGCTAGCTCGTTATTCTCCAAAATTGGCAAGGGGGCGCTCTGCAACAAAATAACATTCCAGCAACTAGGATCCCGACATACTGTTGAAAGAAGCAGTGAAAATTACTATAGAGAGGAGGAAGCAGATATCTACCTCCAACATCCACCCAATATACTTCACATTATTAACATGCTGGTTCACATCCAAATCACTCCACTTTGGCTGCAAATTTAACAAAATGAGTATAACACACAATGGGAATAGAAAAGGAATTACTCCGTAATATATACGTACAGTTAGTCCAGTAAGAATGGAGTCTGCTGTCTCGTCATTAAGCTTTGGTAATTTCCTACTATCCTCTTCAACAATTGGAGCCCTATCCGAAAAGTGCCTTCCAATTTCAGTTTTAACTTCATCAGGCATTTTTGCTAACCTTCTTGTCTCTTTATTCATCATCACCCACACACTAAAAGCAATTCAACAAGTAATCAGTAATTTTTTTAAAAATCATTAATTAATTCAAATGATTTTCTGACTCATGCAAGTAGCATTTTTCCACTTTCCATATCCTTAATAGTATATACAGTTTAGGCAACAAAAAAATTATGAGACGAAATGAAGAAGCTTTATTCAAGTGCAAGAGATATGTATGGTTCATTCGGTATTTGGGTATAGGCATAGAACTGCTAATATCTATAAAGGACAAAAAGATCTTCTGGATGCTTATACCTGGAAGCTCTCATTAAAGTGTCCCCAGTATAAAAATCACGGAGAAGCCAATCACGTCGCATACCATTCTTTCCTGATGCAGCTACCCACGTATCTACTTCAACAAGATCACCCCTGATAAAAAGAAATTGAAGCTATGATCTGAGGTCCTAAAATACTTGTTCAAGCATTCTGACTTGTTCATTCTACATATAAGGAGAGTACAGAGCACTTAATGCACGAACAGGGAGATTAGTGACCTGATGGCCTGAACAAGCAATACAATCTAAAGCTTTACAATATAATCAGAAAGTATTTCCTTTAGATCAGCCATAGAGGTCATGGGAAACTTTGAATTAGCTACATCACAGATAAATCAGCTATGAACTCAAATTCATATATCACCAGATTGACTCCTACAACAAGAGAATACATACAAGCATATTCCAAAACTTAATGCACACATTTTGAAATTTAACCACAGCCTGGTTCATTCAAAATATAATGTCAAGGTATGCACTATGCAGAATATAGTATCCTAGTATAAATGACTGGTATCCATATGCAATTCATGGAAGTAACATTCAAGGAAAAAAAAAACCTACCAAGCAGGGTAACGATCCACAATAACCTGCATTTTACTGACTACCCAAATCAAATTTTTCTTGCACATTTCCTGAGTTGAGCCAAACCCGTCACCCATGATTCCCACCGTCTTCACATGGTTCAGCGCAGTTTCCTGCAGTTTGATGTCATCAAGATATACTCAAGACACCATAAAATTGTAATCCTATAACTCCATTACATTGTTTTTAGGTTGCACGTCTAAAAAAAGTACTATCTGTTCAATAAACATCCAAGCAAAACACATATAAATGCCTCAAATATACCTGTAAATGATTCATCATTGTTTCTATTGATGCAGTTCTATCAGCTCCTATTTCATAAGACCTGATACTAAAATTTTGACGAAAAACAAAACCATCTTCAACAATTCTTCCCAAACCAAATGGATCAATGAGCATGTCAGGGCGCTTCGGCTTCCAATCTAGCATCATCCACTGCTTCTCAGCGGCCAAGAAAATAGTTGTTATGGCTGCAAGAAGCATGCTCCAATCCGGCAGCTGATTGATAAATGTCTTTGAGGGATGTGAAGTGGTCACCTCATCATCAGTCTTGAAGCCATCCATCACAGTTGTCACAGTTCCATTTACCTTTGGAGGCGCTTGTGCACTGGCCTTAACTTGCAAATTTCTAGCAGTGGAGGATTTCAACTTAATGCCTTGTGCGTCTATGCTTGCAGGTGCACTTCCTCCAAACTTTGCAGATGTTTTGGCACCAGATTCAGGGGGCACATGATGACCAAGGAAAAAAGCAGCAGTGGCAACCATGATGAAGTTATTATACCTCACTAGTCTGTTTAAGTACAACAAAATCTCAAGTTCAACCCAAGTGAATCTTATGACTTAGGGAAATGAAAATTTAGCATACTCAGCAAAATGCATCAAATGTCAACATTTCTCTCTGCATCATATTGTAAGTATCAGATCAAATCCAACCTCCAAAGTACAATATTTACATCAATAGTAGCCCCTTGAACTTAAGCTTCAAGTAACCGTATACATTAGTCGTTGAAACAGAATGGAGAAAAGATACAACTCTAACAAATCAAATATGTTTTCAGTAATTATTCAAATAATTAGTACTTTGATAGTAAGAAGAATTTCACCAAGTGAGGGCCAAGTTCCTCAAATAAAATTGCCCCTCCATTTGACAAATCATAACAATTATGCAAGAACAAAAAATGTATGCAACTTAAAAAGCAACCAGAAAAAAGTTCAAAAATTAAGAGGGTTACTTTCCAGTTTCCACTAGTTTCACAACATTTGTTATATGTAGTAATTTATCAGAAGAATAATCAACAAACTAATTTCCAATTTTAGCTAAACAAATAAGCATTTTCCCGTCAGAAGATTAACCACCACAATAAACCAACATATCTTCCCAATAAAAGATGAATAGTTATATACATGAAGCATGATCCAAAGAACTCAAGAAAAAAATAAAAATGCATCCAACTATCCCAAAAGCAAGAAAAAATCAGAAATGTTCATGCACCCAAAGAGCCACATTTACGCAATGAAAAACAGAGAACAGATCTGGGAATCCGACCTCGAAAACCAAACCCATTAACTTGATATTCCACTAACAAACGCAAGCAACCAAATGAACATCCATTTCTCCGTTAATACACATCTCCTATCCTCACATTACGTAAAATACAAGAGCATATCACTCAAGCCCCGGAGATCAAAGGCACAAATCCAGAAATTCGAAAAGACAAACAAACAAACAAAAAAATGGAAATGGAGATAAATCCTTACCTTGAAGCATACGTGAGTGGAGTGAGTTAATATTGAGGATGAATGCGTGGAAATGTACGAAAACAGAGAGTTCAATTCCTGATCAGCAACCCATATTTCGAGAAGATTTCTTAGGGTTTGCAATCTTTTTTTCTTTTTTCTTCTTTATTATGAAATATGATGATGATATTCTTGTATTCTTCGTTTTCTTAGACTTTTTGAAATAGCTGAGAAAAACTTTGGCTCGGACTCTCGGAGAGAGAGAGAGAGAGAGAAGAAACAGCGGCTTTTTGATGGTAGGGATTGGGCGTTTCTTGGACTACAATTTATAGTGTCCACCTGGCGCATGCATTTCAACTCCCACACTTTGCACCCTGCTTTTCAACTTATTCACAACTATGCCATTTCCCCTTTTATTTTTTCCGAATGCCGTACTCCCATAACTCCGTAAGCTATACATCTGGAAGTAGGTCCCTTTTAAAAAACAAAAAAATAGTCTTTTCTTAATGTTTTTTTTTTTTTTTAATGTTTAACTAAACATTATAAAATAGTCTTTTCTTATTTAGTTGAAAGTATTAAAAAAATCGATTTGTTTCATTTTTTAAAACATAAACATAAATTTATTATAAAGTTATTTTGTATAAAATATTAATTATTTTAATCATGATAATAAAGGCATTGGTAAATCACGACTCGTCAAATCCAAATCTTCATGTGCATAAGACACATCCTTGGACATTTTTGTCATACATTTTTTCAATAGGAGTCGAACTACACACTACCACCTACAGTCATGATTTTTAAGTTAGGCGATAAACTAACTATGCTAAGTCATGGGTGCAGTTTTTGGGATTTTTTCATAGTTAGAGAAGAGAGAATAGAGGAAAGATAAATAATAATAATAATAATAATAATAATAATAATAATAATAATAATAATAATAATAATAATTATTATTATTATTATTATTATTATTATTATTGCAACAATATTGCTACTTCAATATAAGATGCTAGATCATGATTATTCTAATAGTTTTATTTTAAAATGTTAAATTTTTTTTAAGATAAAATGTTAAATTTTAATATGTAAACAAACTAATTTAAAATTTATGATGATGTTCTTTTTAATCTTTTTACATTTATCAGCTTATCGAAAAGCTAATTTTACCAAACACTTTCAATCATAACAGCTAAGTTTGCCAAACAGAGTCATTCTATACGCCCAATGGCCATATGCCCCATGAGGCCATGAAGTCTTCTGGTCTCCTCCGCCGCGCACGCTACCGTCAAATTATTGAGCAAGAACGAGAAAAAAGTAAGCCAGCGGAAGTTTGTTCTTGATGAAAAAAATTGAAGAAACCAGTCTAAAATGATTTATTTAGGAACAGGGTTGTAAAAATCCCGCCTAGGCACCGAGTAATTGGCGCCTAGGCACTAGGCGCCCATAGACCGTGGCGATTTCCGCCCTAGGCTCCTGCCTAGGAGACTGGCCGCCTAGGCGCCCGCCTAGCACCTAATTCAGCCGCCTAGCGCCTAACTCGTCTGATTACGCCAAGTTAACTCGTCAATTTCTGTCGAGTTAGTCGAGTTAACCCGACCGACCCGACCTTGCTAATTTTTTCCATTTATATGACATATACATATAATATGACATATATACACTCGTAGACTAGTTTGATACTTTCACTCTTTGGATGATTGAAGTATTTGGGTATTTCATTTGAGTTTTTTTTTTTTTTTTAATATTCTTTTGATGTGATGACTTATGAATTTGTCATTATGTCATTTATTTGGATGTGTTATTTGATTGAATGTTGAAAACAACATCATTAAAATTGTCAAATTGCAAGTCTGCTACTGTTTTTTTCGCGACCGCCTAGCGCCGCCTAAATTCCGCCTAGGCGCCGACTAGGCCGCTTAGGCGCTAGGCGCTGCCCGGGCGCCCGACTAGCGCCCAGCGCCTACTGCAACCATGTTTAGGAATATAGGGTGCACTAAAACACAAAAAAAAAAAAAAAGAAAAAAAAAGTACACATAAGCTAATAACCAGTGCCATGTCATCATGGTAACTTCGGGTAACCTGCAAAAAATTCTAAATGAAAAAAAATTACTAGTTTGTGGTTCAAAATATATGTTATGAAAGTACAGGGTGCGGCATAAATGTTCCGATATAGTTCATGGTGCGCAATGACACTTTAGCCTAAAACTTATTAACATAGTTTGAGTTAGTTAACTAGTTGAATTGTGTTTGAATTTATTTATTTATTTATTTATTTTATTTTACCAACATGATAATCAAAATTTCATACTTTATTTTTACATTCCAAATTAGTTTTTTTTTTTTTTTTTTGGGGGGGGGGGGGGGCGGGGAGGAGGGGGGGGAGGGTGAAATCTCATGGGTAGCAAATAGCAATATAGGTTTTCGCGACTAAATTAATCGGCTGCTACATTGCATTTCACGTTGTGGATAATTTATTATAAAAGCATTTTAAATGTATAATAGTTTACATTTTTATAATACTAGATTTATTATTATTATTATTATTATTATTATTATTATTATTATTATTATTATTATTATTATTATTATTTGAAAATAAAAGGCTAATTCATTAAACATAAACAGAAATGTTTACAATACAGATCATTAGAATGACAGTGCATTCTTTACCGTCAGACATAGAAACAAATTTCTTATAAATGTTATAGAAAATTTGGATTGCGGACTGTTTTATAAATTTGAAGCCGAAGTTGTTGAATGAACTCGGTGCTTCTTCACAGATCTGGTCAAACATAGCCAAGCCTGACTTTGATGCGACCATTTTATCATTCCACGCTTATGATAAGAACTCGTCAAAGAAACGAGAGGAAAACTCGTCAAAGAAACGAGAGGGAAACACTCGCTAGAGAGACGAGAGAAAATAAACTAGTCAAAGGAACAAAGGGATAACATAGAACCAAACTATAACAAAATAAATGGAAAAGATGATAGAAAACTTGTCAGATCTAGAGAGTGTCTGGCGCCTTCTTTGAAAAACGATCGGAGATAATCTGAAATCTAACGCTTATTTTTAAAACAGCCAGAGGATGGAGTCTACTAATGGCACCGCCGGCTCAACCCTCCATTAGAGCGTCAGCCGGCAGTCGGAGGATGGAGGTGTAGGGCTTTTACAGATGAAAAAGGGAGAGAAAGCAGTTGTTTGGAGAGAAAACATTTTAGAATTTTTTAAAGTTAATTTCGTTTACTAGATTTATGATTGTACATTACACGACTACACGTGCTACAAATCTATTTGTCAAAAATCTATTCTACAAAGATGGAAAATATAATTTCACCGAACATATTATACAATCTTAAAAAATGGAATATATATAAATTAGCCAAAATCACATCAAATAATTGAATTTCTTTTGTCATTTTTAAAATTAATTGGTTATTTAAGTATGAAATTGAGGATTTAAAGTTTTTTTTTTTTTTTTTTTGAAATAGGATTTAAAGTTTTAAACTCATAAGTATGCAACAATGTTCATAGAAAATTTGTCTTTGAATGTGGCTATTTTTAATTGATTGGCCCACCATGAAACTGGATTGATGTAAGAAAATAGGGAGAAAATATATAATAATATATTAATAAGGGTCCAAAAAAAGTATTGAAAATTAGCTATAAATAAATGAACACGACTGCTTTCAAAAAAAAAAAATGAACACGACATGTTTTTCAAAAATAAATAAATAAATAAATAAACACGACATGGAAATAATGCAAGCCCAAGTGACCCAACCTATAAGCCCAACCAATAAACTAATTGACCCACTTGAAAGCTAGTTGTTAGGTGCCAACCACTAAGTCAAACCAACTAACTAGACCACCTAGTTAGACCACTTAAACCAACGTTAGACTAGGCGGAGATGTTTGGTCGACGAAGATAATGATGACGACCTTGTATGAACTAGACTCCCCCCACCCCCACCCCACCCCCTTTATACTACTATTGAGGTCCTAGGTCGTCGAGAATAGGTGGACCAGAGTGTTCAACAATCTTTAACCATATGTGTGTCATGTGAGTTGCCAAAAATTATCACCAAATCATCCTCCATGTGATACATTGTTAATCAAAAGGGTTTATGTTTGACTCTCCATAAAAATTGTTTATTGATTTTCTCGATTTCAAAGTGAACTTCACTTAGAACGTACATTTAGGTACCAAGTATGTACTTTCTCATAAATTAAAAGATTTGACTTAAGTTAATATTTCGTGTACACCAAGATAGACATTAAATTAAATTAAATTAAATAATAAAGCTTTGCAATGTCAATTAGTAACAATGCTAACTACTATTCATAGAAAAAAAAAGTGATGACTTTTTTAGGTAGAATAATAGTTATACTTTTATTATTTATAAAAAGGCTCGTTAATTGAAATGTATTGTGTTAATTAAATCAATGCCCAATGATAAAAGAAATTGTAAAATTACATTATCAAAATAAATATGAACTATTATAGTTTTATTAAATTGTTAATTTGTTTAGAATTTTATATTTATTGATCATATTTTATTCTAACAAAATAGTAATTGAAATCACCATCAATCATATTCAAACATTTAATCATTTATATTATCAAATATATAATTATATGTAGTTGAATAATAAATTACTTCATTTTATTGAAAGGCAATGAAATAAAGGAGAAAAAAATATTAAATTTGTTTATAATCAATAATCATCACAAGGTATGGGCTAAAAGTTTACATGTACCAACACTATAAAACTTGTGCAATTAAAATATACTAATTTGAAAATAAATTTCAACACAACCCATAGAAAAGAAAGAAAGAAAGCTTGTGCAATTAAAATATACTAATTTGAAAATAAATTTCAACACAACCCATAGAAAGAAAGAAAGAAAGAGAGAAAGAAACAAAATCTTTAGATTGAAAATGGTATAGGATAAAGTATAACAAATCAGTGTATTACATAAGGCTGCCAGAAACTCCAAAACGACATTTTGAATTAGTGTTTATTGATTTTATTTTGAGATCAGTGAATAAGGCTGCTCATGAATTGGCAAGAGCAGCTCATTCTAATTCTGATTTCCTTGTTTGGCTTGATTCTATTTCTTCATGTATTGAACGTTTGATTTAATAAAGTATCATTTTGGTTTTCGAAAAAAAAAGTATAACAAATCTTTTGTCGCAAGCTTTCAAACATTGTTTTTTTCTTTGACTTTTCAAACATTCTATACTTTTTTTTTTTAATAATAAATGACGGGATAACCTACTAGACCCAACCCCGACCTGAGAGTAGAACAATAACGACGGTCAAACATAACGGTAATCTAGGCACTTATATAGAACAAGTATACTCATTATTATACAAAGCACCGCCTCATTTCAGAAACACATACATTTATGAAGAGCAGGAGCGCTGCAATTATTGAGTGACGTTGTACATATTATTGTAGGCATTGTACATGCTTAATCATGTACTCACACTCTTAGCAATACAATTACTCGTCTACTTACTTTCCCACAAACATATTTCAGTGACTTTATTACCGTCAATGAATTTAAATATCATTATATTATATTTTATTTTATTTTAATAGTGAATTAAAATTGTAAAATCATTGAAAAAAATAAGAATGTATTACAAATATACTGATATTTAATTAGAGTTCAATTTTAAAAATAAGATAAAATTATAGCGATAAAAATAGCCTTAATTTCCTTGAAGCATTCCCCACGTGGTTGTTAAATAAATAATACCCCGTAAAATAAATATTGTAATTAAATGTGGTTAGATAAGCTTTGATCGATAAATGTGGTACATGAACAAGTACTTTTTATTTTTATTTTTTACTTCTGAATGCGATAGAATTTTTTTGAAAACCTAAACAAAAATGGTAAAAATAAAAAATATTGAATAAAATCAATCATGGCAAAATGTCAATTCAGTGTAAGATGGTGTGTCCAAAATAGAGTTTTTTGCACTTTTGGTCCCATGATTATAGTGACACTATCAGAATTGATCCACGACTTTCTGACATTGCAATTTTAGTCCACGATTATTGTTTTTTTGGCAAAAATGGTCCTTCCGACCACTTTTCCGTCAAAATTTCACCGGAGTAAAATTTCTTCATTTTTAAGAAGGCTAAAGTTGACATGTTTAAGAGGCTTGTATTACTGATTGTTTTCTGCCATATTTTGCAATAAAGAATTATTTTTTATCTAGGAAAAATTGTTAAGAGAAATGTCAAATTTAGCGCTCTTAAAAATCGTGAATCAATTCTGATAGTGCCACTATAGTTGTGGGATCAAAAGTGCAAAAAACTCGTCCAAAATAGAAACGTGTTTACTGGCTCTGCATTTTCGATAGATCCTGTCATTTCACAATCCCGTATGTCTAGTAAAGTAATTCAATAAATTCCATAGCCTTTCAATAAACACAAAAAATTATAATTAAAAAAACAGTCGATAAGTTGTTACATCAGTCCAGAGGTGGGAACTGGGAAGTAAAATTAGAAGTACATATAGACATATAGTACAATTTTGTAAATATTTTAAAGGGAAAATGACACTTTTTCCCCCTAAGTTATATACTTATAGCACTTTTTTTCCCTCAATTATTTATGTAAGCACATTAGCCCCTTTAATTATTTTAAAAGTGGTAATTTTTCCCCCTGATATATTAAATTGACATTTCTACCCTTAAAGTAAATATTTTATTTATTTTACTTCTCCAACAAATTATTGTGTATATGTAGCAATGACCACGGTTCGGTTCGAACTGAACCGGACACTATAGCAATCGAATTAAAAGTTTCCGGTTATGATTCAGATCTAGAATCCAATATTTAGATTTCAATTTATTAAATTTATGAACCAAAAAAAACTGGATCATGAACAGTGAACCGGTGGTTCCGGATCCGGATCCGGTTCGTGATTTTGAACCGTCTTTATTTTAAATTTTATTTTATTTTTTATTTTAAAATAATCTAAATTCAACAATAAATGTATTTTATTTTTTCAGTTCGGAACATGAACCAGCCATTTCGATTTGCGATTTTAATAAACTCTAAATATCGCGTTTTGATTCTAAATTGTAATTGGAATATTTTGGTTTGGTTGCTATAATATCTGTTTGGTTTGAACCAAATTATAGTAATAATTTGTTGAAGAAGAAAAATAAATGAAATATTTATTTTAAATATTTATTTTAAGGGTAAATATGTCCATTTAACATTTTAGGGGGGAAAAGAGTCACTTAAATAATTCAAGGAGAAAAGTGCTATAAGTATATAACTCAGGGGGAAAAAGTGTCATTTTCCCTATTTTAAAAATGAAATTTGTTTCACAAAAACTAAAAATAAAAATAAAAATGATACTCCGTATGTAAGTATGTTATATCTTTGGATATTGTGACCGAAATAGAGGACATTTACCGGCTCTTTCGGAGATTACAAGAAATTTCCTCGAATATTTCACAAGCACCATGACTCGCTCAAATAAAAACATATTTAAATTATCCTAAAATTAATATACTAGTTATAATGTGTGCATTGCGCAATTAAATTAATTCCCAACACAAAAAATTAAAATGAGTATTTTTGACTTGTAATAATAATAGTAGTAAAGAAGAGTATTGTAATACGTAATATATAGTTATAATCGAGAATAAAAATGATGTCCTAACAATTTTTATATTAAAATAAATTAAGTCTTCTTAATGTGATATTGATGAGTCAGTTTTTTTTTTTTTTTTGTTTTTTTTTTTTTAAGTAGCATGATAATAAAGTGCTTATTTATGTTGTTGAACAGTAATTAAAAATTTATGTAAATTAAGTTAAAATATATGAATTCATAAGTTCTCCTTATGTATATGATTATGATCTCAACTGTTGGTATATGTAAACTATTCATCTTGTATAATTTAATTGTTATAATAATAGTATAAAACCAAAATGCTCATAGTTATTGTTGTTGTTGTTGTTATTAAAATGTTAAAAAATATTTTTGCAATAAGTAAGTTAAGAATAATAAATAATTAACGGAACATTTCATTATTAAAGTGTGTACTTAAATAGAAAAGTGTTCACGGTCCCACTGCTCAAAAAATAAATTTCATAATTTGTTTTTAAAATTAGGTGATGTATTATGCAACAACTGAAACACTTAGAATACAATTACTAAAATTGTATAAATTGAAAGACTAAAACACATTTTCAAAAAAAAAAAAGAAAGACTAAAACACATTCTGTACTTTTCTGAAATTTCAATGAGGTCAAGTAATCCCACAAGCGATAACATAACTAGTCTACGCCACTAAGAAACCAATATTATACATAGAACTTAATATTTTAACACATTAATGAAACTGACACAATTTTATACGTAGAAGATAGAGTATGCAAATAATATTATTCTATGTTTTTAATATTCGTACTATTTTGATATACAAAATAAAATAAAAGAAAGGTGAATTGTCTAATAATAAATGACATATATTATTTAAAAAAAAAAAACAGGGAGTATTCGATACTATTACATGGCGTTTGGTTGGAGAGGGGGAATTACGTGGGAAAAGAATTACAATTCCATGAGACATGAGAGATGAATTACTGGGAATAAAGTGAGAATTTAAATTTCAGTGTTTTTTTACAGGAATAAAATTACCGGAAATTTCAATTCCAATGTTTGGTATACATGAGAATTGAAAGGAAATAAGTAGTATAAAGTAAAAAATGTCCATTGTTGTTGTTAGACATTAATTTATGTTAAAAAAGGAAGGAGTAATTTTGACTCATCACTATCTTTTTTTTTCTTCCTAAAATCCCCGGAATTAAAATCTCGGGGGGGGGGGGGGGGTCCATTGTTGTTGTTAGACATTAATTTATGTTAAAAAAGGAAGGAGTAATTTTGACTCATCACTATCTTTTTTTTTCTTCCTAAAATCCCCGGAATTAAAATCTCGGGGGGGGGGGGGGGGGGCATGGGATTTTAATTCCATGAAAATGGGGGAATTGCAATGTCTTTCAACCAAACAAGAAAATTTTGTGGCCTTTGGAATTATGTGGGAATTAAATGGGAATGGAATTTAAAATTCCTTCAACTAAACGCCCTGTTAGGATTTTGTATTATATATATATACTAGAATTCAGTCTCCCTCTCCATGTATTATTGAGAATATATCATTTAACATTCATATCTGGGACTCTTTTATCCTTATAAATATATATCTTTATGTACTTTAAATACAATTGATTGATTAATAATAAGATCATTCTCAGAACTATCATTTTCATTTGGTATCAGTAAATCAAACGGTACATGGCTACAAACCCTACCAAGAAAAAAAAAATACCATTGCCGCGCTGCCTTTGGCCGAGGAAACCACCTCTTCTTCTTGCACCATCTCCGATATTGCCTATCCAACCACAACCTCGATAAATGCCCTACAAACAACCCATCACTTTATCTCCATTAAACTTACTTCCTCAAACTATATGTTCTAGAAGACTCAACTTGTTCCCTTTCTCCGCGATAAAAATCTCATGGATACGTTGATGCCACATTATCGTGTTCGGCTTTATTTATTAAAGCTTCGGATGAATGTTCCATTGTACCCGGTCATGCAGCAAAAAATTTGGTCCATCAAGATTTTTTTATGTTGTACATGCTCACCTCGTCTCTATCCGATGAAGTACTTGTATGTTGTAGTGGGACATGCTATGTCCCGGGTCCTATGACAAACTATTGAAGTCGCATTTGGGTCTTTTTCTTGGACACGATATTTGAGTTACATAGTCGGCTACAGTCTTTGCGCCATGAGAATTTCATTACGAGGGAGTATCTTAACAAAGCTAGCGTTTTAATTGGACTTCTTGTAGAAGCCGGCCAACCAATTAGTTTGGATGAACAGAATCTCTATTTAGTTAAAGGTTTCTGCCTTGAGTATGCACGCGATGATTTCTTCATTGACAACTAAAGAACCTGTGACAATTGATCAACTCAACGACTACCATTTTGTTCGTGACAATGTATCATCAAAGGAATTACAATGATGTGAGCTAAATTGTACATGTTTCTAGTGTTAGTTTGATTATTTGTTGGGATTTAATTCACCAAAATGTTACTTTATTTGCATATTTCCTTGTTTTATTATTTAGTTATGGTTTACACGTGTTTTAAATGTTTTACGGTGTTTGTTAGTGTTTTGAAACCATTGTAGGTCAAGTACAAGAGCAAGGGATGTTCTAGGATAAGTTTGGAATCAAATTGGACCAAAAGGGTGCGTACACAGAGCATTCAACGCGTTGAGCTTGTGGCTCGACGCGTCCAAAATTTCCAATAGCAATCACGGTGCAAGCCCAGGAGCCTCGAAGCATTGAGTAAGCTTCTTGACGCGTCGAGAGGTTGCAACCGAGAGAAAGAAAAATAACGCCCCATTCGACGCGTCGAGTTTTTCCAGAATGTTTCGAAGGCGAGCAGTGGAGTCTCGACGTGTCAAGATTACTTCTCGACGCGACGAGCGTGCGAGAATGCAAATTGGCAGTTTCCAAAGTTTGCGGGGAAAATTCCTATTTCGTCCCTGGTTTGACCGCCGCTATAAAAGGACGCCTTCTCTCAACCCTAGAAGATTATGCTCAACTTTGGAGACAAGAAAGAAGAGAATTGAGAGATACAAGTTGTCTTGGGAAGCAAGGAGAAAGCTAAGGAGATTTGGGAGAATCGATTGGTTTAATTATTGTACTCTTTTAATTAGATTATTTGTAAACTCTTAATATTTGCTTTGTATTGCATATATTAGCCCTGTGTGGCTAATTTACTTTTAAGATTCTTGGGTAAAAGTATTTATGAACCTATGTGCCTAGTTCTATAATTCTTAATATATTATTATTTGGGTTATAACTTATGTTGCAATTGTGATAATGTTGTTTGATGCTAGTAGTTAACGGCTGTAATTACTTGTTTCATAGATTTTTTTTTTTTTTTTGGTGTCACAACGGGAGTTGGACATAATTTAGAGCACACACAATTGCACTTAACTGATGCACCTTGGGAGATGACATATTTGTTAGGAAGTTTAATTCTTGATTGTTGCACATCGGGAGATGGTAGTAATTATGAATTTATTATGAATGCATGTTCTTTTGTTGTTGGGTGTTTATATCACGGGAGTGAATATTCACATAGGTTAGAGATTACGTGAGTAACTCTTTCTACTGTTTGCATTCTCACACTTGTTTGAACCCAGATTTAATATTGTTTTTAAGTTTGACACTAAGTGATTAAATACTTGAATCTCAGGAATCTCATTCTCTCCTTATTGTTCTCACAAACTTGCATACTTTGTTTTCCTTTAATTGTTTTAATCAATCATCCATGTCTTTCGTTAGGATTAACTTTATAATAATAAATTAGTAGCTAGTGCTTAATACGCCCCATTTCCATGTGGATCAATAACTTGTTTACTCCGAGTAATTCTTTGTTTGAGAAATATACTGCATTCATACAACTAAACTACATACGTTAATTATTTGTTTGAGAAATATACTGAATTCATACAACTAAAGTACATCTTAATTATAATAAAGCCATATAGTCTTGTGAAAATTAAATGTTGATATTAATGGTTAAATGTTGGTATTAACAACATTTAATTTTCACAAGACCATATGGTATATATATATATATATATATATATATATATATATATATACTTATTATTATTATTATTATTATTATTATTATTATTATTATTAGCAGCAGCAGTAGTAGTATTGTAATATATATATGAATATGAATATGAATTGCAACTATGTTGATATTAGGTTATGTATTTTTTAATAAATAATATTATTATAATGTTGTCCAATATTCATTCCGTGCATCGCATGGGTAGCATACTAGGAGCAGAAATACTCAAGATCAAATATGTATACCGTTAGCTGCGATTAATAATAGTAACTTTTTGTATCATACTATTTTCAATTATTAAATTAAATATTGTAAATACAATATCATAATTATTTTGCCATATGCTTAATAAAAATGTAATTTTAAACAATTAAATTGTGGTTCATGTTTTATTCTTCTGTACTTCAAATACCATTATTAAAAACATTTTTTTACCTATTCTAACATTACAAACAAATATTTAATATTTAGTCCGTGCATCGCACGAGACAATACTAGTACGTACAAAAAGACCAACAGACATCTTCACCAAGCCACTAAACACAACAAAATTAAATGATCTAAGGGGCATGCTCAATGTAACTTTAAGCTTGAGGGGTGTATTAGGACTTTGTATTGTAAGCACATTAGAATTTCTTCACTTTCATTGTATTATTGAAAATATATCATTTATCACTCTCCGTATATTATTGAGAATATATCATTTATCATTCTTATCTTAATGAGAAATCTTTATATCATTGTAAATACATGTCTTTTTTTTTTTTTTTTTTTTTTTTATGGGAAATCTTTATATCATTATAAATATATGTCTTTTTTTTTTTAATGCTACTGGCTCAAGGTTCGAGCTCACAACTTTTTAAATGGAAGTCCAATCATAGATATCATTATTAGAGTATATAGTCTTGGTATAAATAAATAAATACATGTCTTTATATACTTTAAATACAATTGATTAATCAATAATATGATTATTTTCAAAACTATTGTTCTCATTGTAGACATCCACGATGGTAAAGTGTGGCGATTGTGAGAAATGTGTATATAGCCCACCCTAAAGGTAATAATTATTAATATCCACATGCATGCACAGACTACCCAATACGATGTATATAATTAAGGTTCGGAATAAGGTTCAAATTGGCCACTGAACGTAACCTGAAAATGCAATTAGGCCATTGAACGAAAAAAAAGTGCAATTAGGCCATTGAACACTTAAAAAATGTGCAATTAGGCCACTGAACTCTCCAAACGTATGCAATTTTACCGGATAACAGGTTACCATCAATTTTAGCAGGTTACCTGCTTACGTGGCAGCTTAGTTGGCATTTTTAATAATTTTTAAATAATTTTTAATAATTAATTTTAATAATAAATAATAAAATTTATAAAAAAATAGAAAAAAATTAAATAAAAAATAAAATAAAGTCGTTTTTATTTTTTAAAATTTTTTTTAATAAAAATTTATTATTAAAATTTATTAAAAATGCCAACTCAGCTGCCACGTAAGCAGATAACCTGCTAAAATTGAGGGTAACCTGCTATCAGGTGAAATTGCACATTTTTGAAGTGTTCAGTGGCCTAATTGCACTTTTTTTTCGTTCAGTGGCCTAATTGCACTTTCAGGTTACGTTCAGTGGCCAATTTGAACCTTATTCCTTAAGGTTTTGATGAGAAAGCTAAGGTAGCGCGGTGGCGGCGCCTACCATTCCAAGACCAGTGAGATTCTCGCGAGGTGTTTCTGTAAAACGTATATAGTCTGAGGTTTTTCCTCGTAAGACAGAGGGCCCAGCAACCTTTTCTTTAACTAATCCTAAGCAAATTTAATTTGGCAGATCAGAGGTCAAAAACTTGGTGTGCCAACCTTTAATTTGTCAGCATTTATCCTCCCTCACATGCACGGAGTATATGTCTAACATTTTGCGATTATGAAAGGTTTTCGGACTTAATTTACTGATTTAATAGATAGTATTTATAAAAAGATGAAAGATTATGATGACTTAATTGGGATAATCATTCTACTTGCATTTACTTTTCAATAATTAATTAAATTTCTTAATAATTACGTGATATTGTATGATTACAGGGACAAATTATATTATACCTTAAATTATGATTTATATTGTAACGTGTACTATTGATATATGTTTATTTTTAGTATTATTAAGATTAATTTTTAATGTATTATATGTTCATTTTTAAGTAATACATTAAAAATAAACCTTCAGAAAAAATGAACATGTAATATACTGAAAATGAACTTCCAATATACTCTTAAATTTTTGTTTTTAATATATTATATGAATGTTATTTTTTTATACTATATGCTCTGATAAACACTTGATATGATAAATGATATCAAAGCAATGTTAGGGGGTTGAGTACTCATCAATACAATATGCTACACCTACTTTTTTTGTAACAAGTACAATAATACTATAATAATGTCATTATTCAACACCATAAAAATTTCCAATACTCTATTTATTCTCTAGTACGTAATAATACCACCATTAACATCCTAAAGCTTTATTTGCGCATGCATTAGTCCTTTTAGCTAGCTTTCATTAATCCCGAGTTAATCTCTTGTTTTATATTAGACTAAGATATTTCGTTTCAACATAACAACAAGAATATAATAATAATAATAATTCATGTAGCGTATGGTTGATGGTTCAATATAATTCTTCTAATTCTCGTATTCTACCTTTCCCCTTGATAAATTAAATACATGGAAAACAAATGGTAGGTTAGGTTTGTTGATCTAAAAGCAAAGCAGACTTGTATTTGTATTTTGCTACCTATACTAAATACTCTCCTATGCTAAGAGCATCCCAAGAGTCGTTTGTTGGATAATTTTTTAGAAGTAAAAATTGAGTGTGAATTTTTTGACGATTGTAATAAAGTTTTTCTTTTTGTAAATTATTCTCCTGCAAATGTAACATTTTTGTAGGACCCATTGAATGGGAAAAAAAATGAAAAGTTGTCACTCCAACGGTGCATTACGTTGGGTGGGTGCATTGCCGTGCCCAACTGACGCGTAAATATGACTTTTTTTTTCCTGCTTGTCAAAATGTTTTCTTTTTCCTGCTTTTTTTTGGTTCTCTCTTCACTCTCTATTTTACTTGGCACTGAAAAAATCATTCAAAAAAAAAAAAAAAAAAAAAAAAAAAAACTCTTTAGAGAGCTCTAACATACATGAATGATGAATACGGCGTTTACAGCTGTTTTGCTGCAGAAGGGAATAATGGCTTTAAATGCTGTTTTGCTGCAGAAGGGAGTAATGGCTTTAAATGTCATAAAGAGGGAGCAGAGGTACATAATCATCAAACAGGATTTTATATCACTGCCAATTTGTCTATGATGAGTTATTTGATTAAGAATGGTATGTTATTGTGCTTGGATTTAATCATGACCTGTGTTCATTATTTGGAAGCTAGTTCGAGAGCGAGTTATAAGATATTAAGGAACAATTATGTGTAAAGTACAATAATAAAATAATTAATTAAGACAATTAACAAGCAATAGTAAAACTAAGGGCTTGGACTATTTAGAGCTCGTGTAATGCATTGACAATGGAACTATGGAGATCTTACTAGGTGCCATTGCCACTCTCGTATCGTTGGACTCTCAATTAGCTTTAGCCCCCACTCTCATGGTGACTCAATGCCATTAAAGCATATATTTTATCAAACATGTGGTGCTCGCATCTCTTTTCAACCCCATTTTCTCAAAGTTGAGTTGTATTAGTGAGAGGTATGGCTATGGTGTGGCTCAATTCTCATAGGAGCAAGTGAGCAACATCTTATCCATATACCTCTTGAATAATTTGGCCACATGAACCATACAAGAGTCAATACAAATTAAACCACCAAACTCACAACTAGAGTCATCATCACATCATTACACTAGCTCATAGCACAATTCAATCACAAAAGATGACTTAATCCAATCCCTAAGTGAATCTAGCTATTCATCTTAGGAATGCAAATGAAAGCATCAATTGAAACAAGAGACAATGCAATCACAATTGGAAGAAAGACAATATAGAAGAAACAAGAAAGACTTAGCTTAGATGATGAACTATGAAAAATTAAATCTACAAATTGCAAGATGAAATCTGAAAATATTCTTCAAATCTTCTTCAAAGTTGTATTGATTATGCAAATGAAATGTTTGCAGGCTTTCTCCAAGAAAACCTTGGAGAGAGAGTGGATAATGAAAAATTTCCTAAAAATAACGCCTAGGGCTATTTATACCCCTCAAATCATGTAAAAAATACAGGTTAAAAAAGATTCTAGGCCCGTGGTCACAATGTGAGTCCCAGCGTTTTAGCATAGCTTGCAAGTTCCTTGAGGTCACGATGACACTCACCGGCCATGACTGCGATCGTGACCATTTACTCTGCGTAGTAGTTCTGATTTTTAGGTCATTTTTCACCTTGCAGATGTTAGAATTGGACTTTGTTATCTTCATAGAAGTGGTAGCTATTTGAAATACCTTTCCAATGCCATTGAATTCACTTCATTTGGATATTTCTAAGTTGATATATGCTTAAAATACTGAGACGTTGCATGACAGAGTAAAGTACATAACATAGTGGAGTCACGTTGGTACTCATGGCGTGAGTGTCAGCGTGAGCCCTGATCTTCAATCCAAAATGCACATTTCTAATCACTTTTATTCCATTGGGTCCCCGAGTCATGTCATGATACTTCCAACTCGTTTTTTGTTTTTTTTTTTCACTTTCTTGGCCTTTTCATGACTCCTGAAACACGATGTTTTGTCAAGATGACTTCCAAACATATCCAATTGAGCGTCAATTTACATGATGTTGCAATCAATGTTTTGTCTCCAAATCACCTAAATGACACAAAAGAATCAAATAAGTGCATACTTAGCTTCCAATTAACATAAAATTATATGAGTTTGATATTAATTGTGTACATAAAAATACTAAGAATTAGCGATTATCAATGAGACTTGAGTTTGCTAATCTCAAACAGTAATATATATATATATATATATATATATATATATATATATATTCTTGGTTCATTTTTCATGGAAATGGCTATTCCTTATGTAATGTTGAAAACCGGTATGGAGGGAAAAAAAATTCCAAAGATGTTTGAGGAATCAAAATCATTTAAAAACAAATGAAACTACCAAACACTTGAGAAGGCTAGGATTATATATAGAAAATTAGATAATAATTGTATCTTTTTGTACATACAAAAATCAAAGCAAATCAAAGAAAAGGAAAGAAAAGAAAGAAAGAAAGAAAACTCTCCTCACTAAACTTTATTATTTGTCACATCTAAAATCGATAATATCTTGATGTTTTGTGATTAACGATTGAATACGACTTTGTGCCAATGGCTCATTTGTCATTAGATTTGTCAAATTGTTTACCCACACTTATTCCCCTATTTTTAGAGCATGAGTTACCCTTTGAACATATCTCATTCACTAATCAATTTCTTACAATTTAGTAAGAAGGGATTTTTTCTTTGGAGGAAACACCCCAATTAACAAGCAGCCGATGTTTTTTTTTTATTATTTTATTTTTAATAATGTTATTTTATTTCAAACATATTTTGTAAATAAAATATGCAGTAAGAAATAAAAAGAAGATGAATAGAATAGAAATTCTATTCCATATTATTTGATCAGTAAAGCAAATGTAAGTTAGAATGTTTCGTTGTTTGCAATGAATGACAAAAATAACGATCCAAATATTCATGCACATAATAAAGTAAACATATATATACTTATTAACTTATTAACATAATAGATTTATTTCCAACAATTTCTGATGTAAATTCAATCATAGTATCGCACCAACATCGGTTATAACTAACTTATTAGTTAGTTGTCCCAATCCAAGCAATAAAATTGGTGTATATATTAAGGACCACATAAAATGTATTTCCTAAATAATTATTTATACCGCACGCTATTTCCTTGATAGAAAGTAATGGAGAAATTATCCAAAATTTCGGTGGTTTAAATAGACCAGGACTATGTGGTCTAATGGTACCCGGGTTGGACTTCCATTTGGAAGATTACGAGTTCAAGCCTCAGTGGAGGCGTTATTGGTTCTTTGTGTTTCAATAGGTTGAGAAAGTATATGAACAGATACTACAATGTAATAGAGCCAGTAACTTTCAAAAAAATAGACCAAATGTGTTTCCACATAAACAAAATCATACTTTTGGAAGTTACATCAAAGAGGTTCACATGTTCCTATCGCGAAATTATTGTGTGAACTATTGTCCGCATAGTTATGTGGACTATGAATACAAAGTACATTTTTAATATATTAAAAATAAAAATATACTCCGTATTATTTTTGTATTAAAAATATATTATTTAATAGTATATAAAATAATGTACTTTTAGTACTCAAAAAATGTGATTTATGTACATAAATAATGTACTTTTAGTATATTAAAAATGTACTTTTTATTTATGCTCCACACAGCTGTATGGATCATGGTTCATGTAATAATGTTTGGAGGGGGGAGGGGTTGTCTTGACTATAGGATTAGAAAGGACATATAGAAATACCTTTTTTTAATGCCAAGAAAACTCACATGTACTATCTGAAAGTATGCACTAAATAAACTCCAATTTTGTATAGTAACCTAATCATACAAAATATGTAAATCGCACTAAAATAATTTTATGTGACCTACTCAACTAAAGAATATTAGTAATATAAAACTCTTTTTAAAGGAATAGGATAGTAACGACAAATTATTGTATGGACCATGGTCCACACAGTACTGTCTACACAATTTTGTGTGAACCGTAACAAAAAGTACATTTTTAATATATTAAAAATACATTATTCATGTACTAAATATACATTATATAAACTGATGTATTTTCAATACTCAAATAATGTATTTTCCCTGAATATAATATACGTTTTTGATATACTAAAAATACATTATTTATGTACTGAATGTACATTATTTGATAGTATGGTTCACACAATAATGATTGTTTATGAAAAATTAATATGTATTCCTTGAATACAATGTACATTTTAATATATTAAAAGTACATTATTTATGTATTGAATGTACATTTGATAGCATAGCCGTATGGAGCATGATTGCTAATTTCCTATTACGAAATTCAAAATCCATTTTATATAAGGCCCATATTTAAAGCCTAATATTTCCAAGCACTCAACTCGGCCCGAAAAGAGTTAGCTGGGTCTGGTCCAGTTAAAAATAGCCCAAAGTGTAGTGGACCCGAACCGGTAAGCTTTTATGGCGTATTTAATTTAATTAAAGAAAAATTCGAAACACGTGCTTTCCATGCTGTCCTTATATTTTATAGGAATTACTACAAAACCCCAAAAACTTTCCTTTCTCCTATTGTCATAAGCATTACTTTGTCCTCCGCAGCTCCGCTCCTATCCCATCCCAATTTTTTTTTTTTTTTTTTGAAGAAAATTAATAATAATAAATCTGCGGAGGGAGTCGCCCAGTCGGCAATGGTTGATCGAAAGCTGATAATTTTGTGGTCATTCTGAACGACAACAACAATATACTGCAAAATCGAATATCAGTACAAGAAGTAAAATACCAAAAAAAAAAAAAAAAAAAAAAAAAAGAGAGAGAGAGAGAGTTCGTAGAAGCTGATCAATCATTGCTATTCACTGGTAAATTTTAGATTTTCAACATGAATTTCATTTTCAATTTGTTTGTATTGAATTTTCTAGGAATTTTCGGCATGAAGTTTTTGATTTTTTAGTATTTATTATTTAATTTCAGTTTAATTAATTTAAATTGGTATCGTGTTGTTCATGTAGCTGGGGAAGATTCGGATATTTGGAGAAATTTATTCTTAATTCTTATTCATTTTTATTTTTTTTAGTTTAATTTTTATTTTTATTGTAGTAGTAGGGAGGGGAGTGGCATTTCTAGTTGACCGGCATTCTGAATGGATTTCAAAAGTTGATTCCAATTGTCAATTGCGATGAGTGGTCTAGAATTGATATGTAGTTTGTGTAAACTGGATGTTATTCTCATTTGCGAATAGAGCATCCTTTTCTATTAGTTTAAGAAACAGCTTGTTAATGTCTTTTGTTTGGTAGGAAGTTCAGATTCAAAGTTAAAGAATTTATTTATATATGTAGGTATACATACCACCTGCTTTTACTTACTTGATTTGAAGAATCTTCTGCTACTATGTTTTCCAAATTGTAGAGTATTAGTTAATCTTCTGAATGTAGAGGAGACTAAAAGCTATTTTCATTTTATTGCCAGGTAAGAATTTCGTAAGAGGAGTTTTGTTGTGCAACTTTTTTATACTTTGTGATTGGTTGCTGTGCAATTCAAGAACGCCATCTGATTATGAAATCATTGCGGCAAATGCTATAGTGTTACTTAACTCTGTAACTATCCGGATTGCCATAACTGCATTGAGTTTTGTTGGGTTTAAATGGCGGCTACCTCTGAAGAACCAACTCGGGAGAACCCAAATGATAGGTTCCCTTTGCTTATGGAGCAGGAAGAAAGCTGTCAAAGTAATGATCATGTTATAGATATACGAGGTGTTAATCCTTCATTTTCAGCTTCACCTGACAATGAGTCTCCTTCTGGTTTGAATGCATCCCAGCGAGAAGATAGACCATCAGGCAGTCAATCTCCTCCTCCATCAAATGGTTCAATTTCTCGAAGTCTCTCAGTCACAAGGAGAGGCGAAAGTATGGGTCATCGGTGGAGCCCGTTTAATACAATGTTGTGGATTTCCGTTGAGCTAGTATTCACTTTAGGACAAATTATTGCTTCCGTCGTTGTTTTATCCTTATCAAGACATGAAAACCCACAAACTCCATTATTTGCTTGGATTGTGGGTTATGCTGCTGCATGTGCCGCAAGTCTTCCCCTCCTATATTGGCGTTATCTTCATCGCAATAATGTCATTAACCAGAGGTCAACTCCATTACGTCAAGGTTCTAGTCGTGTAAATTCGACATCAGATCCTAATTCTTACATTACCGTCTCGTTGACTCGGTCCTCAGAAGATGAAGATGGTCAGAATGTTCCAAATGCATCCCCACGCATTAGGAATCGGCAAAATACTGATGCAAGGTAAATACATGTGCATATCCATTCAGGGTGCATTATCATGGTAGCAGATGTTTTTGAAATGAATCAATGATATTATGTATTCTCTGAATCTGAATCCAAATATATATGTGCAATCTCAATTCCAATTTTTTTTCCTGGCCAGGATTGCTTCATTCCTGGAACATTTCAAAATGGCATTAGATTGCTTCTTTGCTGTTTGGTTTGTTGTTGGCAATGTTTGGATCTTTGGTGGTCAGTCATCTTCTGCCGATGCTCCCAATCTGTATAGGTACTGCTTACTTTAAATTTCCTTCTTTCTTTTGCCGCTGTAATACCTGTTATGCTAACATGCTTTCTACATGCTTTACAGGTTATGTGTAGTTTTCCTAACCTTTAGTTGTATTGGGTATGCTATGCCTTTCATCTTGTGTGCGATGATATGCTGCTGTCTCCCCTGTATCATATCTGTACTTGGTGTTCATGAAGATATGAATGGAATGAGAGGAGCAAGTGAAGAATCTATTAATGCTCTTCCGAGATACAAGTTCAAATCAAAGAGAAACGGAAGTGGCATTCGTGGAGACAATGAGACTGGGGTCGAAGAAGGTGGTTTTCTAGCTGCAGGAACAGAAAAGGAGCGGGTGATATCAGGGGAAGATGCAGTATGTTTCTTGATCTATATACTCACAATCCTTTCTTCTTCTCATACACAACTGTCCGTTGGATTGAAGATTCGGTGTAATTGTTGCAGGTTTGTTGCATTTGTCTATCTAAATATGAAGACAACGATGAGCTCAGGGAGCTGCCTTGCTCGCACTTCTTCCATGCAGAGTGTGTGGATAAGTGGTTGAAGATAAACGCGTCTTGCCCCCTGTGTAAATTTGAGATTGAAGTTGAAAATGAAGATTCATCATCTCCGGCAGAAGGCAGTCAACAAGTGTGAAGTGTTTTGGGATATGAAAACCCAATTGGCCGGCCAAGTGAACCTGGTAAGCCAGTGAGAATACACTTCATATTTGATTAATACTTGTCTGGTTTTTTGGCAATGAAATCCTGTTTGTACAGTTTTTAAAGTTCAAATCAGATATGAAGTGTGAAAGGAACAAAAATATTTGCCAAAGTATCTTGAATTGTGTTCAGCACTATCCTGAAGTTCAATGAATTTGTACATCTCAGATTTTATTATGTGATAAGGAAAAAGCTCAAAAATGAAAATATAAGTAATTAGATGGGCAGTGAGTGAGAGAAGGCATCTGAAGAGCCAAAGAAGGTTTGTTAACTCATCTGCACACTCTTTATCATCTTCTTCTATAGTACCCATTGCTAATATGCCAACCAAAATATAGCTTCTTTATCCCTTCCATTTCACTCCACAGTTAAATTTTTGTGAAAAAAAAAAAAATGGCTGTTTGTTTTTAGATTGCTTGTGGGATGTGATGTTGGTATTCTAATGCCTACCATATCAGGTGTATATATAGTGTAAGCTCAATATTTAACAAGTATTTTTGAAGTATTTCTATATATGGCCCAGTTTGGTAAAAAATTGGCCTATAAACCAATTTTAGCTTATTTGACCACTATTAATTGTTTGATTTAGTTAAAATATCAATATAAGTGTTTGGTTAATTAGCTTTTTGCAACTCCAAAATGTTAAAATTCAAAAGTTACTCCAAACAACTTTTTCAATTAACTTTTTCAGAAAAGAAATTATACCAAACAGCTATCCGCTATCAGCTAATTTACCAAACACTTTTCTACAACAGCTAATGTTATCAACTAATTATACCCTCTAATTAACACAATCAGCTAACAGCTAACAACCATTTACCAAACATGTATATATATTAATGTTCGATATTATAAATCCATAATGTGTTATGACGAATTAATAAACAAGTATACAATAATTAACAATAGAATCTATTTTACTTTTGGTCCGTAACTATAGTGAACTTTTGCCACAAGGAAGCTCACCAGACGCTTACGGGATCCTCCAAGATGGAGGTGCCCCAACTACTACACTAAGGGTGTGCAAAACAGAACATATATTGTCAAATAAACATAAAGTACTATAATAGTACAATTAAACTAGTGTGTGTGAAAAATGAAACTAAAAGAATAGAGCTCTTGCAATACCGTACATGGTCCAATGAAACTGTAGTAGAATTAAAATGCTACATTAGTGTTGCTGTAATGAAACTAGTGTGCATGAAAAATGAAATTAAAAAACAAAACAACATTTTCAAATAACTAAAATGTAATTAAAGTGATACGATGTCGTTCTGCTTTATGGTCCATACTGCTATATGGTCCACAATAAAATTTGCCAAACTCAGGTCTCTTGGGCCTGTTCAGTTCGGCATAATCAATTATGGACCTCTAAAACAGATACCCGAGCCTCCCAAACCCGCCTAGTTATATCCATCAAAGGTCCATTAAGAAGCCCGATTACCGTGCTCGTCACACATGCCACACCTATTGCATTGCCATAAAATCCTAAGATAAGAGTCAAATAGACCCTTCAACTACCCTTTCAAAAAAAAAAAAAAAAAAAGACCCTTCAACTACAAGCCAAAGTGCAATTAACCTCTTAAACTAACAAAAGCTTCAATTAGACCCTTGATCTTTTCACTTTATGCAATTAAGTTAATTAACAGGTTACATTTAAATCATAGGTAAAGTTTTTTATTTTAATTTTAAAAATTAATTAAAACAAAAAATATATTTCTGATTCAATAAATTAATAAATTAAAACAAAACAAAAACAAAAATCTTCCGACCACCGCTTGACTAGTTGGACGCAGAAGTCGGTTTGACTTCTCCGTCCAACTGGACGCGAAAGCCGGCCTGGCTTCTCCGCCCAGTTGGACGGATAAGTAGGTCATGGCTTCTCCGTTCTTCAAACACATGAATCGTTTCCATGACCACCGACACGGACAACCCATAAAACCAGCCTCTACTACTAACATGGTTAAAAGCAAACGTCACTATCTAATCAGCAATTTCGGCATCGGCTCGATAGTACACGGTAGGGAGTATGCCTAAGGTGAATGATAAAGCATTCGCCGATGAACTCAAGTCGGAGCACGAATTGAATTGAAATTCAAGCGAAAAATCGCCCAAGGCACAGAACCAGCTGGGGATGGCTCCATAGATCTAATAATGTTGTGAATGTGCAATCTTCCGACGGTTGGATTTCGTAACCATCACCATCACATTCTTAGCCACCCACGCCTTAATTCAGTCACCTGTGCTATTATTTAACAAAGGATTGTCAATGACTGACTTTATAGTGTTCTTCATCTGGGAAGAAGCTAAGCTGTATTCCAGTCAGGATTGAGAACGCTCAAATCTACAAAGCTTGTCTTAACCCATTGCTGAATTAAATACTATTCCAGTTTGGTCATATACTCGTATCTATTTCTTTGGTAATATTTTGTTGGATGAGAAGAAAATGCATTACGAATGAGTAAACCATTGGCATACAAAATCCTTCAGAAATTTACATACGAGAAAAGCTGGGGGGATAGGGGAATGGTTAAACAAAGTTTTGGACTGGTAACTTGGAAGGCAGTTAACAGCAAAAAGTAAAACATCAAAGGTCAGTCTCAATTGAACAAGATCCTGATGTTTATTGTACATTTAACAATGGACAATAAGATATGTATATATATGTTCATCCCCAACTCAAGAAAAAACAAAAGGAATTTACCGCTGTGGCTGCTGGTTGTAGTGGTTCTTCTCCTTTTTCTTTGCAGCAGCTAGCTTTGCGTTCCTTGCAGCAGCCTCACTAGCAGCAGCTTTGGCCGCACCATCCATCTCTTTGCTTGACTTCTTCTTTTTCATGGACTGCACTTTCTTAAGCTTCTCTTTCACATCAACATTATGAGCATCTTCAGCCTTCTCCACTCCACCACTTTCATCTTTTTCCTTTCCATTTCCAACTTCAACACCGTTGGGCTGATCCTGTTGCTCTTTCGCCTCCTTTGACTTCTTTTTCTTCTTTTTTGCATTCTTGCTCTCACCAGTAGTGCCATCATCCTTCTTATCCTCTCCATTCATCACATTCTCTACCTTCTTGCTCTGTGTAGCACCTATAAGTAAAAAGAACATTTTATGTTCAAAAGCCAGGATAATACAAAATTCATCATGCTACTTGAGCTTGAAAGCAGTAAAAAAATTCTTCAGTACAAATTCCAGCATGGTGCCCCAAACCAACATAACAAACCTCTCCACAACATCAGAGAGCATAAAAACCTTCCAGAAGCTCAGAGAAGTAGAGAATGTAAATTACCTAGTGAATCGTCTTTTTTCTCAGGTTGGTTGTATCCAAATTCAGCAAGCATAGCTTCAAGTTCTTCAAGTTCCTTCTTCTTCAATTCCTTTTTTGACAGCTGCCTTTCTGATTCCTTAGGTGCCCCAACTTCAGCAGGTATCTTAGCAACAGGCTCCTTCTCTACTGGCACTTCAGGCTCAGGCTCAGGCTCATAGTCCTGTTCTGGTTCAATATAGTCATCCACTTCATCAAGGCCTTCATCCTCACTTTCACTCTCCTGATATCCACGAGTAACAATGCTTATCCATCCACACTTAGTGAAAGAGGTAAAAAAAATAAAACACAGAGATTACAGGGTAAAGTGACATCTATCATGGTGCTAAAAAATGATAATAATAATAATAAAAAGCAGATGAGGAAAAGGATGATAATGCCATTCATTATAAATTGTCAGCATAAACAAGTAAAAATTAAAATTTTAAAATGTTTCGTAAAGGTCCTGATTGCCATCACCAAGACAGAAAAAAACAGGATGATTATATGCTTTCTAACAAGGATTTTTTTCTAAAAGAAATTTCAGGTAGTCAAAAATGAAAATAACGAAAGATCTTAATGAAATCATCAAAGAATACATGTCATGCAAGGGAAATGGTGAGAAAAGTGATGTGGGAATGAAGTGTATTCACTGATTACTAACTTTTGTTGTTCATGTCTACCGTGCCAACATAAGATTATTATCTCCAATAAACAGTGTAATATGTTTGACAGGTTTAAGTAATTTGCCTAAGCTAAGCTATCATTACCCTAGAAATGAAAGTCAGCCCAAATCACATGGAGTCATACTGGATGTGATATCAACTGGAGAAGAATCAGAATGTATAAAATATTTACTTATATCATTTGCCCAAACCACTCTTTGCATAACCAATGCTAGATGTTCTACGAGACAGTTTCCATATACTCCTTCCATCCCATTTTGGAAGGGGTAAAACAGGTAATTGTGTTAGGCATGGTTTTTACGAAGACAAGATGTGATATTATTTCCAAAATTTCCCTTCCAAATAGACACTGTTGTAAAAATCAGCCTAGGCGTCAATTAGGCGCTAGGTGCCCCTAGGCCAAGGGGATTTTACCCATAGGCGGACATTAGTTGGCCAACTAGGCGGCCTAGGCACCTGAGTCGGCCAACTTGGTTGAGTGTGTCTTTTTTTTGGTGTGCAATGTGTATTTTGTTGTGTTTTTCTTATTATTATTACTCACTCACATAGGCGCTAGACGCCTCCCGGACACCCAACTAGCGCCTTCTACAACATTGCAAATAGGCCCACCTAGTCGGCTAGTCAGATAAATTTAAAAAGTTAAATGGTATTAACAGTAAAATTGAAAAAGTAAAAAGCTAATGGTGTTTAAATTCAGTAAGTGGTCATTGTTTTGGGACAGAGTAAAAAGGAAGGTAAGACAAATAAAGTATGACAGAAGGAGTAATTAATAATGAAAAATTTATATTTGGAGAGACAGCTAAAAAAAATCTGATACAAGGAAAAGTCAGCTAAACTCAGCATTGTGAATCATAGCTTTATAACATGGAACCATTCCATAAACAGAACTTACTTAAAAGATTGCAAATAGATAAAATAAAGAAATACAGAGTATATTGTTTGTCACTAATAGGTTAAGTTTATTTAATTGGAAATTATAGATTGATAGAATAATTAGTCATCTACATGTTTGGAGAAGTCCTAAGGATTATGCAGTATAACAACTCTACTTATTTAAAGCAATATTGTATTAAAAACATCATAAATCATGATAATCATAAGCTTGCTTAACCAAACAGGACTAACATACTGCACCGAAAATAGAATAGCAATCAGACCAGTGCCAAATGCTACAAAAGCATCAGCACAAAAGCACTTTAAGTAAAAGAAATGAATACATAAATAATATACAGAAACATGAGAGTGCAGTATCAACTCAAACAATCAAGAGAGACATAACAAATAATTCTTGCGAATTGTAAGAGAGTAATTACCACATTCGAGCATAATTCTAAAGCAGAATTCAGAATAAATACCCATTTTTAACACATAAATTCACACTAAAAAAGCATCCAAGTGAAAGTACAAACTACAAAATGCATACCTCTACAACAGGAGTGGCTCTTTCTGTGGTCTTGGAATGCTGCTCCACCGGTGCCGCACCGCCCCAAACAACCTTAGGCGCAGCCGTAGTAATATAGTAATCATCGTCACTTTCGTCATCCACATCGGCCCACGATTTCGTAGTCAGCGGCGCCGGAGCCCAGAAAACCTGCGGCTGAGGCTCCTGCTTCGACGAACCGGAAGAAACCTTACTCTTGGAATCCTTGCTGGACTTCTTCTTCTTCCTGAGAGCTCCGAGCGCCGCGAAACCGTTAGTGCTGTTAATCACCAACTGATCATCCTTCCTGTTTCCACCACCCACCATTTTTTTTCCTCCTTTCACTCAGAATCTCAACGCCTCCACCAACACAGCTCGCCGCAGTCGACAGATATCTATATCTACGCGATTCAATCCACGGAGAAACAATCCCTGATTGTGGAATGATCGGATGGAAATCGAAGATGACAGATTTTCAGGGAAATTCCGGCGAAACAGGAATTTCCGATGAATTGAAGGAAAATGTTGAATTGTGGATTGGATGGCGGTTGTAATTTTGGGAGAGAATAGAATCTGTGAGGGTTATACAAAGGAGAACAGTCTGTAATTATTAGGGTTTGATAGAGAGTCGAGTCGGGGAAGATGGAGAAGAAAATTGAATTCTGGTTCTGGGACTTCTGGATTTGTTTGAGGGTACGATTGTAAATATGTGACGCCGTGTTTGGATTTGACTGAATTTATTGAGATTTGCCCAAATATCCCCAAATGGAAATTCACAACATAATGGTACGTGGATCCTTTTTTTTCCAAATCGGATATTTATAGTTTTAAATAAAAATATTTTCAAAAATGTTTTTTTTTTTTTTTTTTGCTCCAACTCTCCAAATATTCAATCATTATAATGTTGACCATAGTCTATATTCCATGTTTGGCCACTAACATACATGTCCATTTTTAGTAAAATATATATTACATTGAAATATACTAAAACATAACATGTAATAATAATCCATCTTGTAACGTGGATCAACATACACAATATATATATATATATATATATATATATATATATATATATATATATAGTGATCATATGTGAATCATTCTCCCCGTGAGTTAATGAGAACCAATTTTTCATGACCATTAAAACTTTCTCCTTTGTCTCCTCGCCTTGTTGTCGTCGATGTTGATTCTTCGTCATCACCTTCCTCATATACGAGGAAGGCAACATGGCAATTGCCTTCTTCGACTAAAAAAGCGGTCAACAACTATCAATTACATGTTGATTGCCGATAAAAATGATTTAAACAGAAGATTTTACTGAATTTGAATGTTTAATTAAAATGTTTTAAATTTCAAAAGTGTTGTATTGCAAGTTTGTTTGCAGGTCTTTAGCTCGTGAAGAACAGTAAGAACAAGAAGAAGAGTAGAGACAAAATAGAGGGTTTCTTATTCCTTTATATCACACCTATGATCATTACATTAGAATGACATATATATAATAACAAGTGTAACAGAATACAATAATGGAGACATAAAGGAAACCGTTACACAATAATGTCCACAATCATTACTATTTATAACACTCCCCCTTGGACATTATTTGTCAATGATCAAGCCTCGTTTTAAAAACTTTCTAGGAAAACCCTGTGGGAAAAACCTAGACAAGAAAAGAGTACAATAGAAAATATATTCATGCCTCATTAAAAACTTCACTAGGAAAACCACGTGGGAAAAACCTAGTTGAAGAAAAGAGTACATGATATATATAAAAACATATATTGTATTTGGTCGCCTCATTAAAAACCTTAACTTAAGAAAACCATGTGGTAAAAACTTAGTTAAGGGAAAAAGAGTACAACCATAAGCCTTCAGGGCGCAAACCGCATAATCTTCAGGATTTTGGGGTTTGTCCATTTAAGCAATTATTTTGCAACTTTTCCTCATTGTCATTATTATATCATACTCATGCCTCGTTAAAAACCACACTAGAAAACCCAATGGGAGAAAACTAGTGAGGAAAAGAGTACATGATATTTATGTATTTATGTGTTGCAAATAGTGCGCAATTGTTAGTCTTTTATGACTTAATCTTCAGGATTTTACGTTCAATGTTCAATCTTCCGGATTGATTCGAGTAAATGTACTTCCAGTCTCCCCCTGAAGATAACAATCTTCAAGTTCTACATATATTTCAAATTTTGAAGAGATGGATTGGACAAATCTTCTGGATTGTCACTTAGAGTAGTGTACAATAATCTTATGGCTCTTCTAGAGCTAATATAACATTTGTGCAACACAAGTGTTATTGTCCTCATTTTGAACATTTAGGGAAATTCATTGTATAACCAGTTTGGACTTGGCATTGCGGGGATCAAACAAAACAGCCAGTACCCGAGTAGCCTATTAAAACCGTATCATGGTTTCTTACATAAATGTCATGTCTTTGTATCTCGAAGATACCGGAGGATATGTTAATCATTATTCAAGTACTTCATTTGTAGGGGGAGCACTAGATTTTGCTAGCAATTTTATCACAAATATGTTGCGGTTATGGAACTTCTGGTTTTATAATGGTGCTCCAATGATAATGAAGTAAGGGACTTCGAGTCCAAAAAGGTTCCTTATCTACTTCAAGAGATTATTAGGCAACCTTTAGTTTGATAAAAACATGACACTTATATGCATATAGACATATGAAAAAACATTTTTAGATGTAGGCTGACTGGTGTATAAAAAACTGTAAAGAAAAACTCGATCTTCAAGTCGAGATAATACTTATAGCTTTCACAAGCTTTTTGTTTCAAAAGTCTCAGTCTTTAAATATGAACTGACATCATCAAGCTCTTTATATCTTTCATTGATGTTTACACCATCAATCTTGACTGAGATAATAAATAATAAATAAGTTCATTATCAATCCTTTATCGAGCACACAATGGTACATATTATTCCTTCAATGAGGATATTAACTCCATTCGCAACCCTTTAAAGAGTAGATAATGACACATAATAATACTTAAAAATGAGAATTATGAATCCATCAGGGATTTCTCAAGATAAATTTAACTGCATATCTAAATTTATTATTCTGCAAATTGTATTATGTAGCGGAACTTAATGCCATTTACCGTGGGA